GGGGGGGGGGGGGAGGTGGAAGTAGTCAATAAAATTTATTCCTACGAAACTTCCTGAATGAGAGTCTATAAATCGTCCTCACAAAACTCGAAATGATATTTAAAAACTAGCCCCCGGTTATTGCGCAAGAGGAAAATAATATTACCTAATAAAGCGGTTATCGAAACGAAATTCTTCTTTTAAAGAATACGCTCTCTTTCTTTCTCTTTATCTCTCTCTCTCTTAGTCCTTCATGATTCAGAAATTGCTTGATCCAATCGCCTCCTTGTAGGAAGGCCGTTCGAGCGCGAAGATTTAATTTCCTTCGCGCGCATACCGCGATCGTACAAAGGCGCGTACTTACTCCCGCAGGAAATTATCTCATATTTGCAATTATTGCATTAAAAAGACTTCTGTAGGAACGTTATAAAGCTCCTGGTCGCGCCAATCTTTTTTACAAAGCATCTCCATTTCCCGCCGGCACTAGTCGTTTATTTCTGTTCCCTCGCTTCCTGAACCACTCTAATCTCCTAAGAACTAGTGTAATCCTGGAGCAGGAAGAGAGAGAAACAAAGAGAGAGAGAGAGAGAGAGAGAGAGAAAGAGAGAGAGAGAATTCTGAAGAGAGCTACGGATCTATCTAATTAATAGCACCGGATTTGTTCCGGTGCTCGCGATGCTAGGGATTTGTATGCTGGCGACATTTATTGATTATTTTGCTTGGAATGCTCGGTGTCCGATGGTTCCGCCGATAGAAACACGTGGCGGGCAACGTTGCTGGGCGCGAACGCGTCCGTTGCACAACCGGCACAATTCACTGCATTAATTCGCCCCGATGCGGCCGCATTGAACGGTCGCGAGTCAAGTGAACGCGAGCTATACAGCGTGAATTAATCCTGGATCCACCCCGTCCGGCTACCATTCAAACCTACATTTTCTCTTAATTCTCTTTTTCCTCTTTTTAGAACAAGGACAAGAGATGGGGAGAAAATATCGAGTTAATTTTTCGCTGAAAAAATATGCGCTATACCGTCCGCCGCGAAATTACTTCCAGGACGTTTCCAGGATGGTCGGACGTTTCGCGCGCGCAGTTTCTCTCTCTCTCTCTCTCTCTCTCTCTCTCTCTCTCTCTCTTCCTTCCTCTCTATCCCCTGCGCGTTAATTACTTTGGCGATAAATGATGATAAATAGAAGCGGACATCTCGCCACTCTACCTGTTGGCGGGAATTTGTTTGATCGAGGTCAAACCGCTTCCAGTCAAACGCGCGTAGTTACGTTGTCCAAATTTAACCGGAGTAGGCGTAGGCGGTTTAACGCGGTTACATGTGCGAGAACAGACATCGGAGTCGAATGTCGGCGCAGGTCCGCAAGGTAGCCGAACCCCAGGTAACCATATTTGACGTAAAATCAATGGCCCGTATCTGCGAAAACATTAATTCGTCGCGTGGGCGGACAGCTGGAAGGTATAAGGGCTGGAAGAGTATTAATGTTGACGTTGCCAACCCTCGGCACAACCGTTTCTCCCATTCTCTCGCTTCTTTGCTCACGGATTTCGTTCTCTGAAAGCTCGCGCGCGCCTTGGCCGCCTTCAGGAGCGGATTCATTAGTCATGCGAGCCGTCTCGACACGGAAACGGTCCTGAGTTTCGGATGAAAGCGAGATCATAAGTAGAGCTTTCTCTCTCTCTCTCTCCGCAAAACGTACGTCTTATTATCTCGACGGGAATATCGACTTGATGCGACCTTCTCCCCTCCGTCCTTCAGCCTCTTGGAGGTCGTCCCTTTGACACGCCTTAGTTGGAGGGAGAAAAGTTTCCCTAACGAGGCGAGGCTTTGTATTCGCCGAAGAATCCGATTTTGCGTTTATTTGTCGAGATATTCGACGAAGTAGAGAGAAAGAGAGAGAGAGATCCCGCTCCCGCCGAGACTTTCGCGAATCCCGTTTTCCACGATACTTTTCGGCGGCGCAATTAAAAGTTTTCCCGATATTATGTCAAAGGCAATGCGCAGCTAGAATATTCCCAGATTATATTCTCGTTTCTTGCCTTCCGTTTTCTTCCTCTCCTCTTTCCCCTTTTTCTATCCCCGAGAGCACGATAATCGGGTAGTTGGCGAATGTATGACTGAGGGCCCGTTCATTTATATTCCGCGATCAGACGGCGCATAATTCGCAATTTCTCCGAAGGCCCCCTTAAGTATCTCCGGAGTCCTTCGTTTTTTTTGCCGAGCTCCTGGGCGAGAGAACGTTATTAATCCTGCCGACGACGTCGCGTCAATAATGGTTCCCCCTCGGGGGCGAATAAACACGGAATATTCGCCGGAGGTTTTGTAGCGCAAAATAACGTCCGAGTCCCGCGTGTATCTGTCGGATACACATATTTTCCGCTTTGTGGACTGTCGTATCCTGCCGTGGCGCAAAATTAATATCGTCGAGAGTCAGAAAGAAGGAGAGAGAAAGAGAGAGAGTGTGAAGGGAGAGATATAGAGAAAGAAAGAGAGGGTGATAGAGATAGAAATAGTAGAAAGAGAAAAGGAAAAGAGGGGAGTAATACAGTAGTTTATTTTGTAATCTTAGATAAAAAATCCACTTGTGACATAAATCAAAACAAGTACTGTGTACAGGCATGCGATGTAATTCGCACCCGGGCCAGTGCATAATTTACAAATTTTAGTAAGAATTTTTTACCTTACACGAGAGAGAGAGAGAGAGAGAGAGAGAGAGAGAGAGAGAGAGAGAGAGAGA